CAAAAATATTTTCCACCAAATTCGTATATTTCTAATATAATTTGCATTTAAGTGCACATCAACTGACGTCAAAATATGTTTAGCATAATGAAATGACCATGGGACATGACCCTGAAATATTTCTTACATAGTAACAATTAAGGGAGGAATTTAGGCGACTTCATTTAGGCGAGCCATGTTACGAGCACACAAAATATATTTCCTGCGAAGAAATATAAGACGAAACATGATTCTGTAATTTTTACGTTGGCAAAAATAGGTATAGTTTGCTGTAATAGATCAAAAACTAGATGTTCTTTGCAGTTAAGCGATAAATTCATGAAGTTTTAGAAAAAGAGCAAGAATACAGTTGATGTTAGTATCTTTTCAATATTTTGGAAGATATATTTAGAAGAAACCATTTTGATTATGCTAACAATAACAGACAAGTTGCTATAGAATTTCAAATATTAAATTAATATTGTACGGCTGCACGTAATTCAATATTCGATAACATTTTATACTATCCACTTTATCCTCCACAGATTCCACGTGTTTGTATCATTTTATTCGAATATTCAGTTGGACGGGAAATAACGTTATTTAAAACAAAACGAAAAAAGAGAAATTTGTCTGTGTCCGTTCCGCTTACAATTGGGAAAACGAACCAATAATCGGTAACAAAGACGACAAACACGTGAGCGAGAACAAAACGACGTGTCCCGAGCTATGGACGTCGATTGAATTAACAAAATTTCTCGGTATGCCTCCAGAAGCACAATAGCTTTCGGAGTGCTGGCTTCATTCGTGCAGCTGAACGGAAATAACAAACTTTATGGAAGTTTATCGATCAACTCAGCCAAGAATAAAATGTCCCTCTGGTGAACTATTCGAAGTTAATATTTTCTCCTATGTGAACGATTTAAAAAAAAAATTTCCCGCGAGAGAGAACGTTTCACAGAAATATCCTCAAAATTTCTGTTTTCTTTCCAAATACGGATGAAAAATCCCATTGTATATTAAAAAATGAACACTCTATCGTATTATAGCTCTCCGTGAGTATCCACAGCCATAGAAAAATGATTTTTCGTTCCTATTCCGTCGTCAATCTTTATTGTGCAATTTTTCGAGAAAATAGAAGGATAAGTAATATTTTTGTAATATTTCGATGAAAATATTTCAGAAAATATCATGTTCCTTTTATTTACCGTATATGTACATGGATTGTACGAATATTAATTAAAATACAAAAAATGATTCTTCTCCTTTCTACGAATTTTTATTTTTAAATTTTGCCCGAAATTGGATCTGTATAAATATAAATATTTGAATAATAATTTCTACGAATTGGGAAAAATCGAGTTCGGGGAAAAGGACAGAATTATCGATTAATTTTGAGGAAAGCAGAGTTTAAAAATCCTCGTTCCACTTAAGAAGTTGATAAATGCCTTCAAGGAACGATTCACTCTAAAAAGAGATCTTAATTGCATTAAGAAGTTTCCTCGGATTATGAAACGAAATTGTCGATCAATTTAGTAAATGATCTCTTGATGTTATTTCAACATTTGCTGTACTATACTATAATACTTCAAATAGGACGCTTGACAATTTAAAAAAATATTTCCAAAAAGATTGACTAAAAATAAAATAATAAAAATAATTAAAAAATTTGTTATATCTAGTAATACAAAAAAACGAATTACCATTATTGTATAATTATAATAGTACTTATCCTCTGTGTATAGTGAACAAATTTTCTCCTGCAGAATATAACAAATGTATATATACAACACATATACAATATAACAAACATACGAAATAATTTGGGTAGTTTGTACTTTGTATCTCATGGGATGAAAGTTATTAATGTTGCAATATATTAAACGTTAGATAAACAAAATTATAAATAACGTTATATACGTATCCAAATTAAAGTATACACCAAATTTAAGTAACCAACCTATCCCAATTATTTTATTTCAGATATTAAGAAAAATCCAAAGCTTTCAGGTATCGAAATAAATAGTGACTGACAAGAAGAGTCATGGCTCTAGTGCAAAGGGTTAATATTTAGCGAATAATGGAACATAAAACAACAAAAGGATCCCCCCCCATTCAATGTTCTCTATTTTCGACAGAAAATATCCCCTCTGACAAAAAAATAAAAATTTACAGTCGAACCATGTCCCAAAGAATTCTGCTCGAATTTCCTGAAAGGGAGCTCGATTTCGAAACTCTCCAATCTCCTCTGGGGGTAGATGTTCAAAGCAGGAACCACGATATTCCTTGTTCGTCTTTCAAAAAGGGAGAGAGAGGAAAGAAGATAAAAGAATATGACAAAGATAAGAGGAACGTAGGAAGGGAGAGATAGAGAAGGAGAGTAATAAAATGCTTAAGCATATTACATTTGTTTCGAGCCCCGGCGTGGAATACTAGGAGCATGCTCCGTTGTTGCTCCAAGGGGTAGGAGCTTCCGGTGTGTTTTCACTCTGCGAGGAAACAGCCCGGGAACGTTTAAGGCGAACTTTAATAACTTCCGCGCTGCCTTACGATGACCGCACACTGCTGCCAAGAAAATTGTTTCGGGGCAAATCCTGCGAATTCCTCGGGACAAGTGGAATGTTGGTATGTTTCCGGTTACGTGGATGGAAGTCCTCAGAGTGATGGACACTCGGTGCACTCTCGTGGGGGGAAGAAAGCAGAACGGAATGATTATCTTCACCTCGAAGATCTGATTTTCACGTAGAATACATATAGGAAATTACTCTGATTGGCGAATATAAGGAACAGAAGATGTTGTTTAATTCCAATGTATTTTTATTACGAGCTAAAGAGAGTTAGGAGTAAAGTACAAACTAAAAGATGTAAGGGGTGGAGAAGAGAGGGCTGGGCTAAAATGAGCCTAACTCTCGGTTTGACTTTATTCTTCTAGATAGGATATACACACGCCGCTCTCGTCTCTCGCGTAAAATTTCCTGGTTCGCACCCTTTTAACACTAGGTTTACGGAACCCGTCAATTTGACGGAAGGGTTGCTCCAATTATAAGATGGTAACAGATTTAGTTAACTTATATTAACCCTTTGCACTCGACGACTTTTTCGTTACAGAAAAATAGTAATTCGAAGACTTTCTGTCATAGAAACGAGGATATTTTTGAAATGGTAAATGAGAAATCATATGCAAATTAAGACGTAGAATTATTTTTCTTCGACATTCCACACATCGTTAGGTAATTTTAAATTGGATATATTAATTAACGTCGATCTTTAGAATCTAATTAAATGGCCAAATCGTTAGCCTACGAGGGATTGTAGTCTTCGAATAGATCTATCTGTTGGCGAGTAGATGGCTATACTGAGAGTCAGCTCTTGATTGCAAAGGGTTAAGACTGTTAGTATAATATATAATTGTTGTTAAATTAAACTAATCGTTAAAAAAAAGGCACGTGGTTTCCTTTACCTGTCAATTTGACAGGTGTCCTTAGAAACAGGTATACAAATAGCGTCCGTAAACCTAGTGTTAAAGGTGAGCCTCCTTTGTTAATTCATCGCGAAAATCGTTTTGAGATTCCGGTTATCACTGCTACGTACTCGTCACTCACGCCGCCTTATCGATGACTATAATAACCTTAATAATAACTGAACTATAATCACGCAATTTACTCACACGTCGACTCTTCTTCAAACTTCGTAAAAGCTCTCTGTAAACGACTGTAACCGAGTCCCACTGAATGTCAATGACAAGACTGTCTTTCAAACCACGTATAGAACTTGCTTCTCAACTCTGCATAGGACTGTCCTAGGATAGACCTTGCACCCTTATTTAAACCCTGCACTCTGTCTTCTTTCATACTCATGCTTTCTTTCTCAATCACACATTTCTCATAGTCTCACTTTCGGTGGGTCACGTATCCTAAACACTCAGGTGCCTTTTACTCTTCACTTGCATTCCATAGTCTTAAATATCCCGCTTATCCGATCCTTGCACGTGGTCACTTATCCTTCCACGTGGTCACTTATCCTTCCACGTGCACTTCAGACATCACTCTAAACATTCGGCCTGAACCCTAGGTTGCTGTTTATTAGCCATCACCAGCTAGACAGATCCAAGTGCTTCTTTGCACTAACTCTTAATCTCACTATTCCTAAATACATATATTTATTATGAGCTAAAAGAGACTTAGGAGTAAGAAACTGAAAGTCTAGACTAATAATAGGCTCAAGTGTTTCTTTGTATTCACTCTCAAACCTACTGTTCCTACATACACGTATTCTGGAAATTCTAGCTTTTCTACGAATCAATTTGATACAATGAATCCCTCTTTTTGCTCATTATTGCTAGCATTTCCAAGATCTCGAGATATGTGTGCTCGAGATACTAGGCTCCTTTAAAAATTTGAATAAAATATTGCACAGTACCTTAGACGAATAAGAAAGACAGCAGGAGCAGAAAGCTTTCCGATGTATCAGTTAAAACCAGCTCGAGTCGGAATACGAAGACGTTCGAGTCGTATTAAATTTCTATTACCTAATCAGGCAAGGAAGCCTCGCCTATTCACTTCTGCTCCTTTCACCGTGTCTTATCCCGTGTTTTATCGATCCTACTGCTGACGAGTCCTTTTTACCAAAACCTTCCCATGCGCCAGGAAATGAAATAATACTAATCCTTAAAGTCTGACAGTCAGAAATTTCTATGTAACAATAGAAATTCCTAAGACGTGCTAACGTTTGAACGTGATTTAATACGAGTTACCAGCAGGATCTCATCTGCTTATGAGACCTCTTAATCCTTTAAAACTGGCTCTTTGGCTACTTATTAGAAGAGCATACTTGAACTATCATCCTCATAGGAGAATGAAAAATTAATAACAGACTACTTCGTTATGGTGTAATGATAAAATTTTTCTCCACTTATTATCTTATTATCTTACTTAGTATCTTATTCTCAGTTCTCCTCTCTAGTTTCATCCTGTATTTTCTATACTTTATTTTCACAACAGCAACTGCGATTTGATTTGCAGGGTGAGATGGCGACCAGATCCGTAACCGGTTCCGTGAGAAGCACCAGGAGATGGGCCAGTCTACGACAGCACGTGAGCAGCAACGAAGGAGGCAAGCCCAGGGTTGAACTGCTCCTCGATCCTCCGGGATCTAAGTCCTCGACGCCGTCCTCTCAGCCGCATACACCCAATACCCCTCGAACTCCACATACGCCATTGAGGAAGTCCAACTGGGAGGTAATCGAGCACTTCACCGGTGCGCCACGTCCCTCTATCATCACGGTGAGTTGTTATCCGAGTGGAATTATGTTGGAAAAGTAGGTTAAGTTAGGGGATGTCGGATATTAAATGAGAGGCTCGCTGGAAAAAACCTACGAGTGCATCCTTTTCCAAAAACAGAGATAAATAGTACAAACGTGTACGCAACAAGCGCAGTTATCTCGAGGATAATCTAGAAAAAATCTGGACAAGATCGGCAACAATTTACTCGAAAAATCTCGATGCAAATTGTGGAAACGAAAATTAGATCGTGTCGTCGTACTCCAAGTATTTATTTTCACTACAGCTTACATGGGAACTTCGAGAGGAACGTACGTACCAGATGTTTGACAGTGATCGATTACTAGCATAATTATAATATAGCTATTTTAGGATTATTGGTATTGGGATTATGGGTTCTAATTGTAAAATCTGTTGAAATCTTTTATTACTCAAGGAAGGTATATGTTTCTTTGAGTGCTTCCCTTGAGAGACTGATCGATTCTCTAGAGAGTGTCAAAAGGGTACGTGACACAGTTCGCCTAAACCCCTAACCTTATCGAAAGTTTATATAAACATTCGTTCTCAGAATTAAGATCTTATAAGTTATTCATTGGTACCTTCTATCCTAGATTGATTTTTATCTATAATTAAACTTATCTTTTCAACAATGGGCAATATTTATATACGAATTAGGAAGTAAGTGGAGGTTGTCCACAGAGGATGATGCAGAAAAGGTCAGGGTTAGAGTGAGCAATAGAGTGATAAGGATGACTAAGGGATAAAAGTTAGCCGGTTTGGAGTTTATCTAATGTACATAAATAAACAGATGACTAAACAGTCATCTAACAGTGTCAAATCTGTTCTTTCTCGCAGCTTTTCCATATTCTATGGCTATCTAGGATCATATGTAGCACCTGGATACACTCTCTTTGAAATGCAAAATTCTAATTCTCGAATAACTGAGTTCCGTTATTACACTCTCCCTGTTCGAGTACTTTATCGAATAATAGTGCCAGTCCTGGTGTCTACGTATGTACTGTCAAGCTGAAAAATTCGTATGCATAAGGGTGAGAAGCGTGATCTGCATCTAGGTAGAGTCAGGTGTTGAAAGCTAGCATTCCTCTTGGATCTACGCTGCTCTGCTAGACATTTTGCACCTATTTCAGTGTTGCTGCTGACGCCAACCTAGCACTAGGAATATTTATTTCCAAGACGAAGTCCAATTTTTCTATACTTCACTTCAAGTTCTCACCACCTAGATATTTAATTCTGTAAGAATGTTGACAACAGAATAGATGCAATTTAAAAATATAAAAGTGGTTTATTAAAACTATACTCTTGAAACGACAATTGACGTCACAACCCAAGTCCAACCCTAATCATTTGTCACCCCCTTAGAGATCAGACAATCTTATGCATAAAACCCCATCGTTTTTTAAATATAACACGCGTGATTATTATTTAGTACAGATATTTCTGTATTCCCAGCATATGTACTATATGCTTATGTAAGTGAATGAGTAAACATTAGTAATAAAATTGTTCATTTTATACAATAAAACCGTATTTTTGATCCAATATTTCAACAGCGTCAATTACTCTGTGTTTGTCGACTATATCTGTCATCACTTGATTGAAAAGAGGTCACCATAGCTGACTGGTTAATATCTATGGTAATAAAAATTCCGTTCAATTCGATGCTCTTGAAGGTATTAATTTCATAATTCTAGGAATTCTACTTTTCGAAGTATTCTCTGCAAGATGATCTTGGAGGGTCGTGTCGCCTAATTGCGCGATGCCCTCGAGCCTAAGGGAAGTTCCTACTTGCTAGATCCACGAGGATCGTCGTACAAAGAGATCCTTGCTTTGGGAAAACGAGCCATGGATATGTAGGGGGTCCTCCACCACGATTGTTGAGGTCGGTTGGTCTCAGGTATCCTCGTGTGGTGTTAGAAGGGATGAAAGGAAAAGGAATGGATGCGTTTCGTCCTGGGCCTGCTAGTAGACTCATCAGTAAGGCTACCCTAGCAGGCCCTGCCTTAGACCGGGGTACTATTGCAAGGTCGGGAAGTTATATGGGCAAGTGAGAGCAACTTTCATTACTGCCCATTGTCTTCCGGCGTGAGAAAGCCCTTCGTTGGAGTTCTAGGAAGGTCCAAGGACAACAGCCACAGATGGGGATGTTTGGACCCCAAGCTGGGGCGTCTGGATCGGAGCTCACAATCAGCCGAAGAGGCTACGGACACGTGAAGACGAGGCGACGGAGAGGGGACATGCCCTATAAAACAGCGAGGGATGCGTTTTTGGGGCACTAGCCGACCAGCGTACTGAAGGAACAAAACAGTTACCAAGGAGCAAAGCGACTAGTTATTAAAATCCTTCCTACATATGTATAGGAATTTCAGAGATTTTCCGAGGACTTGCGAGAAAGTCCTCGAAGTCGGAATCCATCTAGAGGCAAGGGTGAGAATGGTTGATACAGATGTTTAGACCACCTATCGCGAGAGTCTATGATGATCCGAATTACCACTAAGACTGGTGTGACTGGAAGCTGTCGTCTTAGCATATTCATAACAACTGACACGAATTCCTGTCATTTACGATTCCCTCTTTGCTTACATCACCCATGTAAATTCGCATTTCGAATTTTAGTTCTGATTCCCGTTCGCGTAATCTCGAGGAACAGCTTCTTACGAGCCTAACACTTTGATATGAGAGTTTATCATTTTTATTATTGTTTCACTGACGGAGGCTTGTGACAGTCCACTTGTCAAGTCTTTTATCTTCGTTATTAGAGTGGTATTGCGAGCAGTGAAGGACGTTTCGTTCACGCCACAATTAGCCACAGTTATGCGGGTCCTTTTGGGCCGTACGGACCAGCGAGGCCTGAATGGAAAGTCTAGCAGCTCCCTAAGGACCGGCGTGGCGTTTAACGTGTTAAGAACAATTGGGGGGCACGCGTCGCAGAACCCTCTCGATGGTTTTGGTCTTTCTAGTACCCCTGATCCATGACACGTACCTTTGCGCGATTTGTGACTGGCTATCGGTCGCTCTGGATCTTTAGAGGTCGCCACAGATTGTATTCCAATCCATCAAAGTTGTCCTAAGACATATACCAATCGTGTTGAGCAATTTTTCTCAAAAGCAGGATTGTCCTGATTATCTCATTACTGGAACCCGGATTGAAAACGATTTATATTTCGAAACGCTTCTATATACAATACGAGGTCTGCAACGAGGCTACGTCGGAAAATGCAATAACTATGTATCGACGAAGAAGAATAAGAACTGCCTTTGTACAGTTTTCGAAGGTGCTTATATATTCCTACTTTTTAGAGGGGTGAAAATGACTATTGGCCCTTAGTCAAGGTTGGAATGAGTAAGATGTTTGGAACTCTGATGCTGGACTGTCTTTATCAGCTAGGTCCTTTCAGTGACTAAGAGTAACGAACCAATGGTAGGAGAGGGGACATGCCCTATAAAACAGCGAGGGATGCGTTTTTGGGGCACTAGCCGACCAGCGTACTGAAGGAACAAAACAGTTACCAAGGAGCAAAGCGACTAGTTATTAAAATCCTTCCTACATATGTATAGGAATTTCAGAGATTTTCCGAGGACTTGCGAGAAAGTCCTCGAAGTCGGAATCCATCTAGAGGCAAGGGTGAGAATGGTTGATACAGATGTTTAGACCACCTATCGCGAGAGTCTATGATGATCCGAATTACCACTAAGACTGGTGTGACTGGAAGCTGTCGTCTTAGCATATTCATAACAACTGACACGAATTCCTGTCATTTACGATTCCCTCTTTGCTTACATCACCCATGTAAATTCGCATTTCGAATTTTAGTTCTGATTCCCGTTCGCGTAATCTCGAGGAACAGCTTCTTACGAGCCTAACACTTTGATATGAGAGTTTATCATTTTTATTATTGTTTCACTGACGGAGGCTTGTGACAGTCCACTTGTCAAGTCTTTTATCTTCGTTATTAGAGTGGTATTGCGAGCAGTGAAGGACGTTTCGTTCACGCCACAATTAGCCACAGTTATGCGGGTCCTTTTGGGCCGTACGGACCAGCGAGGCCTGAATGGAAAGTCTAGCAGCTCCCTAAGGACCGGCGTGGCGTTTAACGTGTTAAGAACAATTGGGGGGCACGCGTCGCAGAACCCTCTCGATGGTTTTGGTCTTTCTAGTACCCCTGATCCATGACACGTACCTTTGCGCGATTTGTGACTGGCTATCGGTCGCTCTGGATCTTTAGAGGTCGCCACAGATTGTATTCCAATCCATCAAAGTTGTCCTAAGACATATACCAATCGTGTTGAGCAATTTTTCTCAAAAGCAGGATTGTCCTGATTATCTCATTACTGGAACCCGGATTGAAAACGATTTATATTTCGAAACGCTTCTATATACAATACGAGGTCTGCAACGAGGCTACGTCGGAAAATGCAATAACTATGTATCGACGAAGAAGAATAAGAACTGCCTTTGTACAGTTTTCGAAGGTGCTTATATATTCCTACTTTTTAGAGGGGTGAAAATGACTATTGGCCCTTAGTCAAGGTTGGAATGAGTAAGATGTTTGGAACTCTGATGCTGGACTGTCTTTATCAGCTAGGTCCTTTCAGTGACTAAGAGTAACGAACCAATGGTCATCCAACATCATCATAGATTACCACCATAGATCCTCACCCGTTTCTAATAATTAAGTTTTCGAAATACTATATGACATTCTTAAAATAAAATACATAGGTGGATAATAGAGTAATAGGTTTTCTGAGGAAGTTTATTTAACACTAGAATTACCAATTCAGTGAAAATAACTGGTCCCAGAATTTTCCGTTTTGCAATCACCGAACACATACACTTGCTTTAAGAATAAAATTGGTACCAACTCGTATTAAGAAAGAACTGTAATCGATATATTCACTCATATTCATCGTATCGCTGAAATTACTGTAATTTATGTACGTTATAGTTAGGTACCCATTAAAAATCGGTAATTCTAGTGTTAATACAAATAAGGAGATAAATGTCAGCTGGGGTTGAATTTGACACTGCTTTCTGTTCACAGATGAGCCGAGGATCAGAAGTCGGGGTCGGCCTTACAACCGGAAGGGACATGACACAGGAAGCGAGTTTTAATGCACCGATAACTCAGTCATCGAGGAAATGTGCGCTTTGCCGCTTTTTGAAGTCGCTCTGCGCCTCCCACTGCTTCAAAAACTTGCAGGTAAACACGTGGACGAGCGAGAAAGAGGGAGATTTGAAACGGCGAAGCTTACTTTGGGCCCGGTTTTTGCTCCATCTTTTTTTGCTTAGCAAAATTCGTTTCGAAAGTTGATCCCTTTTTGCTTGGAAAAATTCGTTTCCAACCTTGATGGAGTAGTATCCACGTCCCTTGTGGCTTGTCCGATTCGTGTTGTTGGAAAAAATACCGTGTATAGTATGGTTCGTAAAATTTGTTCAAAGTTAGCGGAACTGCGATGTAGAACCAACTATTACGCTGTACTGTATTCCGAAAGCGGCTTTCCTCTCATAACGCGGGATTAATACAACTTATTTTACATTGCACAAGGACTCTTCTGGAAAAATACTGTATTACTTCCTTTTTCTTCCTTCCCAGTTTCGTGTCCATCGACAGTATGGTTATTAGCGACAAACTCGGTTTTTAGACTTTGTGGTACAGTTGAGCTTCTTTTAAATATCGAAACCTCTTTCCACATGTTTCATACCATTTCATGGCATGAGAGAAGTTCATATTTGCGTCTTTGTACTTCGTATCTTCTGTTATAATATTGTAGGATGCCGAAAACTGGTTTTATTATCTTCCTTCTTTAATCGAAGGAACATCGGGTCTACGCGAAAGATTTTGAGACATCGAAAACGGACAGAACAATAAGAACAGAATAACGAATACTAATCTCGGAGAACTAATTTAACTTAGGAAAAGGACTAAAATAAGGTAACTAAATCAGGAAAAGAACTAAATATGGTTTGTGTCGTCAAGGGTTCTGTTTTTATGCTTTTCGCAAAGCTCGATGACGTGCCTTCTCCAATCGCTAATTGGCTGATAAGATTCAGCCCATTAGCGATTTGCTCCCCGTGACGATTATGATTTTGTTAACCTACGTTTCATCTGCCCGTAGGGACCAGGCAACTTAGCTTTGCTACCAAAAGTAGCCTTTCATAGCGGTACCTTTTTCCATTTGCTTCTAGGAAACGTCATGCAGGTCATCGATCGGTTTCTAATTTGTTTTTCTTTAAAATAAGAAATCGCGAATCGGCCATTGCCAAAATGGTATCCTACAATATAGTTATGTTATAATATATTCTGTTATAATAATTCCGTGTTTTATATAAAATAGAAATATCCGTCTTTTTCTTGAAATTTGCAAATTTTATTTCATTTTTCTTTGAACATTCGCTATTTTCCACGAATTTCTACAAATTTCGCCTATCTTCTGCAGCTAAGAACTCTAGAGAAGAAGATGATTGCTTACCTCAAAGTTTCCACGTAGTTTCTAAGGCACTCTGCATTACATCTTATTTTCCTTCTTTCTTGAGCTGTAAAGAAAGAAGATGCTTTCAGCGATAACAAAGAAACTGAAACTCTGTCGTGTTTGTTGGGACGTTTTGTACCATGAGTTCTATCCTGGTAGCAGATGGTCCGACAGGAAATAAAGATACGTCCGGTAGAATTGAACGATCGAAAAGCCTCGAGTTTCGTGAAATTATCGCGAAAATATTTCGCGAAACGTTGGGAAAATTCGTGGTTACGAACAATTTGATGGTATCGGAACGTTCAACGTCAGATTGGTCATGCTTCGGCAAATATCCCGATGGATACAGTGATCTAGGTTTGCAGTCAGCTAAATAGGAAAACATCGCGCAACAAGTTCTGGGAAATCGGAAATTTGGAACTGTATGTGACAGAGATAGTTGCGAATCTGCTGCGTCTGTTCGTCTTTCTACCATCGATTCGAATCTGCTGCAGGCAACCGCGTTCCAGTGAATCCCTGACCTGCACTAAGTTGAGGGAAGATGGTGTAAAGTTTACGCTTGCAATTGACAACGATGACAACGGTGAATTTGTATTTATGTAAACGATATTTTAATTATTCTTCCTGTTTTCTCAAGAAAAAATTCGAAGGTAAAATCACGGAACCTAACCTAAATCTAAACTATCTCTGATTTTAAGACTATGCTATAATACACTGGTTCATGAGAGAAATTAATTAATTAACTTCTATAGTGTTATAAAATTGAAGATTTTGCTGGTATAGGTGTAATGTGATTATTAAATTACACTTCCTTTTATTTTTAAAGAAAAAATTCGAAGGTAAAATCACATAACCTATTCGTGACCTAAATATGTCTCTAATTTTGAGACTATGCTACATTGGTTCATGAGAGAAATTAATTAATTAGCTTCTATAACTAGTCTAGTCTATAACTTAGTCCAAAGTCTCTTAATGAGTCTAATTAAATGATATAGTGTTATAATTTTAGGGATTTTGCAGGTATAGGTGTAATGCGATCATTGCAAGTGAGGCTACTGGATGCCAAACCTAGTTTCTTGCAAGAAACATTTAAATATTTTACAAACATTGCTAGTTTCACTTAGGTACAACTGACACACTCAGCGATGAAGCTGCAATGCTTTTGAAATATCGGTATAAATAAAAAACAAGAAAATGACACGTGATTTGCATTTGAAAATTTGAGTTACGTGATACAGTGTTACGTTCTTTGAAAATTGCTGCACTAAACATCTTACAGATTCGGAAGATCCACTAACTAGGAATCTAGTGTCAATCTAGTATCAATTATGTCAACGATTCTTAATTATAATTTGTCAAATTTCTGTACCAATTTTCAGTATCTTCATACACACTATTGCCTCAAAACATCTCAACAAATCATGGAATTAATTACCACGTTCGTGACATTCTTTGATTTCTTGATTAACCCTAGTTGCAACTTGTTAATGTATTATTACGTTAAGATTCTCCACTCTGGTAGCCACAAAGAATGTAGCTATCGCTACTTCGATATACTACATCGCTAATTTTTTATTCCCTCATGAACAAAGAAGAAGAAAAGAACATAATATTACACACTGTATTCCATTTCTTTTTGTTCGATTACAATATTGTAGAACGGTGAAAATTGGTTTTGAGACACCAAAAACTGACAGAACAACAAGAACAGAATAACACGAACACAAAACTCATAAAACTAATTTAACTTAGGAAAAGAACACCAAGATAACGCAACGAAAACGCACAAAGACGCACTCTAATTTAACTCTCTTTCCAACACCGAGCGACTTACGCTCGTGCCGGTCACAATTAATTTCTAAAGACTCTGTTTTGGTCGCCAAGGACCCTGCTTTTATGCTTTCCTTAACCTACGCTTCAGCTTCCCGTAGGGACCACGCAACTTAATTTTGCCACCCAAAATAACTTTTCCATTTGCTTCCAGAAAATATCGATCGGTTTATAATTTGTTCTTGTTGGCAATGGCCGATTCGCGATTTCTTTCGAATTGGTATCCTACAATGTGATACAAGTTGTCCTTAGCACAATGCTACGTTTCCTGGGTCTCCTTAGAAGTTGAGAACTATCGATGTTCTACTTATCGACACACGAGCTAAGAACTGTTGACGTAACCACAGCGTTCCTCAATTAATAGGAATTAAGCCTCTTTGGGTAGCATGTCAACAATTCTCAAGTATACCAATCCCGACGAACGTAATATTCTCGCGACTCTATTTTCCCACAACTAAAACCAATACGCTGTCAACGAGTATTGCGAATCACGTGGTTCGCGTAATTCGCGAAAACGTTGTACCAAGTGAAACGCGAGCAAAACGTCGAATAAGTCGATATTCGAACGATCGATGGGTAAGCAGCTATAGCTCGATCATTCCATCAACATCAAACGAGAAATTAATTTCGCAGGATCGGATAATGAAAAATGGCACGCTGTCAGACATTGTCGGTGCCAATGGTCGTTCCCGTGAATATTCAATTTATTCATTCTCACAGACGTCACGCTTTTTCACGACCCCGTCATATATTTACATACATGTAACTTGTGGTGGAAAATTGCTGTTTATTCGTGCGTGTTCCCGACGAACATGAACAAGCTGAACGAACCGGGTTATGAAGCATCCGTTTGATCCCTCTCTGTCCATATTGTTAAACGATCGTGGACCTTGCATTATATTTTGTAACGATTGATTGAAATACGACAAATTGATTGCGTTCAATTGTCTCCTGTTATTACTTTATCAAGAATAAAGCTGATCTCTTTCTGGATCTGGATAGCTTGCGAAACAGGAATAAATTTAGCCCTTTGCAACCCTGCAGTCGCCATTTGATAAAATTTCGAAGCTCGATATTCATTAATATGCCAAATTTCAGATAATGTAACGGTGTGCGAGATATGGAAATCAAATAGTTCTACGTGTTAATTATCATACGACTTCTTATTCACTGCTCAGAAAAATATCGTCAGCTTTGTAACAGAAAATCTTTGAACTCCTATTATGCTTTAGCCAAAAAATCGTCGAGTGCAGAGAATTAGGTTAGGTTTGATTTAGATTAAAATCAGTTCGTGAGAGTTACTAGTTTCTTTTATTTGTAACCAGAATTATATTAACACTAGAACCACCGTGAACGAAAATTGCTGGCTAGGGTTGGGTTTTGATTAGGTTTAAAAATTATTGGTTTATACTCTTTGCTAGATTGAAATCGAACGATTGCTTTTGGCATAATCAGTCAGTACTTCTACTCGGATCACGTTACATATCAGCAATTCTAGTATTAATTGCACGTTAAACTTGGTCATCGTTTTAATACAATTCTAAAGTGAAATTTAATGAAATTTAATGAAATTTTATGAACAATTTTGATCACGAAGAAAGAAAGAAATATTCGTCCAGTAATTTTCTTCCTTCATTCGCTTAGTGAGAACAAAGCTGAATAATAATTTGCACACGACTTACGCCACGCGGTGACGCCAATGAGGTGCAAAGGGATAAACCCATTTTTAAATTAAACCTTCCCGGTTGCCTCTTACAAAAGAAGAAAATGAAAGACAAGAACAACAATGCCGCGGAGTTAACGTTGGAACACAAAATGAAGGATAAAGAATGAAAAAGGGAAACAACCATGCTGACTGTGGCGTTCCAGTGATTTATTCCGGCTTTCAACGGTTCGCCACTCAGCTTCCCTCTCCCTATTTCCATGCTTCCTTTAATTTTAGGGACCTCTAATTCGGGCGCGGTTCGAAACAAATTTAAACCCGAGCCAGTTATTCTTTCGTTCGCGTTTCGATCGAGATCGAAATGACTCTCGTTCAGATAAATACTGCTCCACTCGGTTGGCCAAGCTTTGCAGCCTCCATTGTTGTAGTAAAAATTAAATAGTAAAGTAAACTCTACATCCTAGCTATGTGGGGACGTTTTGTCTTTTGTCTCCCGTTTTCTGCAGACGTCTTGAGACCTGCGTGGCCCTAAATTGGCCAGTTCTAATCGTTCGTCCGTTTAATAAAGATCTATACAGTTTTTCCACCGTTTCCACTGACTACTATTCCTTTGCGTTGTAACCCCTTAACATCCATAAACGATGGTCCTCTATTGGAGAAGTTTTCACTGACACACGAATACTTCGAACATGGTCATCTGGTGAACGAATCACCCGGACCAATTAACAAGATGCATCATTGAACATTTCTTTCGCGAACGCAGACGCTGTTCTTTACGAGGATGCAGAGTTCTATGGATGCAGAGTTCTGAAGAACTTCTCTGCCTGGATTTGCGAAATCCACTCTATCGGTTAGCACGGCTAGTCCTGCTTCGTGCGATTTGTCTCAACGTTGGACGACTTAATACCGCATCGCGTACAGCGAATGCTTTTCGAATGAGAGAAGCGCCAGAAGGGTTGAACAGCAGCATTGCTATCTCTGTGTTACTTCCAACGAAACGAATGCGCCCCTTTCGTTCTAATGAACACGATATGAGTTTCTGTTTAAACCAGGAACCATCTGGTCCCGAGTAATCAATTTCCTGTGATCTTTGAAACCAGGTCTATGACAAATTCGCGACAGTACTGGAGATACTGTATAGTTTCTAGGGAATTTCATGATATCGGGAAGAACCGGGATGTACTGCTTTAAGAGAGCGGACCAGTATGACGTAACCTCTATTATAACCTTTGTTTAAAAATTCATGGAAGATTATTGGAAGAAGGTAGGCATGTAAATTTTTTCCAGATCTTACTTTTAACCTTAAACTGCTTATAAAAAAATTGAGATAAAGAATATCAAAACAGAAATGCTCGGAAAAAATCTTGAATTAACCATCTGCAAAATGGAGCGGACCATGATGATGGACAGGATACAGCGCGGAGAAAAAATCTGCAAAGGATGAAAAAATGTGGCGAGTAAAGGCAAACAACGTGCCTATCGCACTGACCACAGATAACAAATTTAAAACTTCGAGCAAGTTAAAAAAAAATCACGAAGTCGAAGATGATAGAAAAAGACAAATTGTTTCTAAGAAATAATTTTATTGAAAAATTTTCCGAATTTTTAGGTTCCCAGTCAGTGGTTAGTGTCAGAGCCACGTGTCTTTGACACACGCTCAAAAAATTTCACAGCGATTGGAACTTCGGTTCTTTCGTTATGCTGTCAACCATGGTCAAAAGCGGTGTTCAGAGAAAATTGAGATTGAACATTCGGATGACAAAAATGTTTGCTCGAGTCAAAGTCAATTCCGTGTACTCTCTAGCAAACTAAAGGCGTTGTAGTGATGCGAGGTTCTCGAATTTCGACTTCGCATTTTTCGCACTTCACGCAGGAAAGAACGGAGAACTTTTTAAGATAAAAATAAATCGATTTTTTAAAGGTTACATACTGGTCTGTTTCCTTAAAGAGGCTTACACTTTTCTGACTATTGAACGGAAAATGGAATATATCTTTTTCTTCCAATTTTTCACAATTTTTAGAACAGAGTCTTTGCTGAGTTTATTTTAAGTTTACGGATAACAAAATATTTTTATCCAAAAGTTTATGCAACTAGAATAATAAAGGAAATTGGTATAGCTTCTAGGGAATTTATCGGCAATTTGAAATAATATTATACAGGTAGTAAAATGTGATAGAAAATAAGAACGTATTAGCGTATTTGCAACTAAGAAGTGTGTTTCCCATTTTTGCAAACTTCAGGTGGAGATGCTATACCAACGCTACTTCCTGCGGATGAATCAAAGCAACATGACGCATGTCCTCGGCCTACTAGCAGGGCTGGCCCTCGCCCTGGGTGTGCTTCTAGTATTGAGAATCATTCTGGAAGGCAACCAACAATTTCTGGATACTTTGGAAAGACCGGAGAACCTATCTCTAGCGGTCACGTTGGTCGTCTGCGTTGCAATTTACGCCGGTGAGTATCACAGAATTATCTCCGTCTAATAAGAACAAAATTCACTGAAAACCCTCACTGATCGTTCATCTTTTAAACGAAACTATCTCATTACCATAAACGCTGTATCAAAGATTCGCCAAATGGCAAAAAACAACGAACAACCAGACCTCTGAGAATAAAAATGATACATTATAATATGAAAACACGAATAGAATTCATAACGACAGATGCGTGGGTAGATGTGACAGAACGCTTTCCACGAATGTCCGTTGATCTTTTTTGGATCAAGTGAGGGAGATAATGGAACACGAAAACGAGAGAAAGCAGGGTACTTAGCGTTAGCTAGATAGAGAAGAGAGTTTGGAGATAGATGAACAGGTAGACACATAGATAGATCTGCAGAAAAATGAATTAGATGAATAGGTAGATAAACGGAGAGATAAATTATGCAGATAGGCAGATAAATACGTTGGTGGATCGACAGACAGGGAAAAGTTGGTAGAGGAGAGAAATAGATAGACACGTAGACCAGTCGGAGAGGCAGATAACGAAAGAAGCAGGGGACGAATGGGGATGCAGCTTAACCCAAATGGACAAAGGCTCAGTCCATTTCCCGGAGAATAGAGATGCATAAGAACTATGGAAAAACGGTCGCTGCAGTTCTTCGAACCTAACCTAAACCAACGACAGAGAACAATGAGCGTTTCCTCGTCAGAAGTCCTCCGAAATTGCGATTTTCACGATGCACTTTGAGAATACGGTAATGCACGATTTCGGCAGAGGGAAAAATTCGTAGGATGGAATTTTCGTAAGGTCAACGTCGTTAAGCGACAATATTTCCAGCGGATAAAAGGCCGGACACGTGCGAGATAAATGATTCAGTTTTAATTAGCTCGGAGATCAACGAGATCGGTTTTAAAATTTTTAGTCGCGGCTGTTTCACCCCGGGCTGACCCACATTCGCGGCGGGGATGTTAATTAAAATTTCCCGCGGAAACGTTTTCACGTACGCCGCGTGTAAAGTCTTGCAAAAGGGTATCGAAACGCGTCACGTTCCCTTATCAAAACTCGACCGCGCAACGAAATAGTTATCTAAGGCACGTATGCAGCGCCAGCAACGTCAAAGGTGAGAGGTCGGGCGACGCATCGGTTTTCCAATGCACGACAACGCTTTTCAATTTACCTTCAACCCTTTCTTTCCGGAACCGGTGTTTCCAACAAATTCGAACGCGCAACGGTAACTTCGTCTGTGGTAGAAATTTCAACCCCGATAGCCTGACCGGGAAAAGCCTTTAGGGGTATGATGCGACAAAACGTAAAGCGTTACGTGCTCGGTTAATTCTTCAGTTATTAAATACGAAAATCGTAATGGTCTGAGAAAGAGCTCTGACCTATGCTTTCATTCTACGTTCATGACGCAACGTGTTTCTGCATATTAATCGATGCTTCTGGTATTCGCACAGCCGAATGCTGAAGACTTCGTTAATCGCGAGTAATACTATAATAGTATACTAATCGCAGTACTGCACGATCTTCAGAGTTTGCACTCGGGAAGAACGAGGATAGTATTACCCATAGTGTAATCAATCTACTTTTTCTGATACAACATGACAGCCAGGTTCTGCCAAGTTTGGTTACTGTCTAATAGTTGTCAGGGTAGATTCAGTTCAAATAAAATAGACCGATAAAGTACATATTCGCTATTTAGTGTCAAATGAAAACAGCATGGATGTAAATGCTGAAGGCTTCGTTACTTGCGAGTAACAGTGCAGTAGTATACTAATCGCAGTACTGCACGATCCTCAGGAAGAACGAGGATAGGATTATCCATAGCGTAATAAATCTACCTTTTGTGTCACAACGAGACAGTCAGGTTATGTCAAGTTTGGTTACTGATTGAAAGTTGTCAGGGTAGATTTAATTCAAACGAAATAGACCAATAGAGTACATATTCGCTATTTAATGTCATATAAAAACATCATTGACATAAATGCTGAAGACTTTGTTACTCGCGAGTAACAGTACAATAGTATACTAATCGCAGTACTGCTTGATCCTCAGGAGTTTGCACTCGGGAAGAACGAGGATAGGATTGCCCATAGTGTAATAAATCTACCTTTCCTGACACAACATGACAGTCATATTATGTCAAGTTTGGTTACTGTCTAAAAGTTGTCAAGGCAGATTCAGTTTAAACGAAGTAGACAGACAAAATACATATTCGCTATTTAACATCAGATAAAAACAGCATTGACGTAATTGAGCTTACAAGTAGAGTGCAAGTCCTTCGGGTCATTGATTTAGTTGCAACTTTGCAGGCCTGTAGATTTAGTCATGCAGTTCAAGTACCGTTACCATTATGACGGCAACTAGTCGATAGTTTTTGAGATATTTATGACTAAAGCTTTATTATTCCTACCTAGAGATTTCTTCCGAATAGTTATCGATAGTTGTCAAGTGGCATTGTGGCCTAACGACTATATCCGAAAATTGCCACAGCCTAGCAATTTTCGGATGTCGTCATTAGGCCGCTTGATAAATATTCGAAATAAATCTGTAATTAAGGCAATAACGAGACTCTAATCCTAAATATCTCGACAAATATCGAGTAGTTGCCCTTATAATAATACATTTACTTGAACTGGATGACAAAATCTACAAACCTGCAAAATTTCAACTAAATCTATGACTCGAAGGACTTGCACTTTCCTTGTTAGTACTATGTCAGAGATATAGGTGCGAAGAATAGGTTTAAAGTATCTCTAATGCCTCTTTGTCGTCCCAAGTGCAAACTCCTAATCCCAGCATAGGACGGGGTACTTTTCGCAGAACCTTCGCTCCCATCCAGTCCCATGTAACATTCGAACTACTTTCCAGGACCTTTCACACACCCGCAGACTTATTCTTCTTTAGAATTTCGGAACTTTTGAAATCCCCTTAAATTCCAGCACTGGTAGCAGCCATATCCAGGCCGAGGATGAACGAAATCTGGTTAGCCGGTGTCAGTGGAGTAGTCCTGGTAACTCTGCTGGCACTGCAAGTGGCTTTGAATATACATCTGGCATTCGGATCGAAGGAGCATCGTAGCGGTGGGCCATTGGCTGCAGCCTGGGCTGTCTGTTTCTTCATTTACATGGCATACGCGCTACTTCCCATAAGGCTGCGGCACGCGTGCATCGCCGGTTTCATTTTCTCCCTAGCACACCTGATCGGAGCGTTCGTCCTCTACCCCTCGCACTACCCCGCCATGATGGAACACGTGAGTGACATTCTGTATCCTCTTAAATCCTACAGAAATGACATTTTGTATGCGCCAACGTAATACCCGCTGGCAAAAAATCAGGCTAGGTCGAGGCAAGGCTAGGTCATCTCTGGTCAAGAGACGAAGAGTTTTCGGCGACTATGCTAATTTCCACGTGTGCGCACACATCGGTGATAAAGCAAGTTCTCGGCTCGAAAATAGCCCTTCTTCCCGACAGTATCGCGAAGCATTGTTTCGTTGGAACAGCCGGCAAGTCTACGGTGTGTCTCGGCTCGAAAGTTGCCGGAGTGTCGCAAATTACAGTGCAATTTTCGGGAGAAATCGCGTGACACCACGGCCACGGGAATTTCAGCGATCCATCTAATTCCAGGAACCCCGATGGCGGTCGAACGAAAGCTGGTTGCAGTAACGACGCGATTATTAACCGAAACGCTGCAGTCGATGTGCGTTAGATCGAGATACGCGAGAAAACACGCTCCTATATCACGACACACCATGAAGGTTTGACGTTAATAATAGACTTCGGTTGAACAGACCCCGAGGAGGTACTAGGGAATTTTGCGGGTGCATTCACCCTGGTTTGATGGCTTAGAAAATGATTTATGGAAATAATTAACACCCCGAAGTGTAGGAAGATCTTCCTAGATCTCTGGGTAGAGCAACTTGATCTCTATGATTATCATTAGGTCGTTGCATATCGTTCAAATTCTTTCACGAGTCAGATATATCTGCGCTGCTGCGAAGAGGTACTTGCTAGACGTATGTTATCTCAACAAGCAAACAGCAAGTTGAGCTAACTCAACCAAACTCCTCTGTAATCTAATGTGCTGGCAACCTAAGCTGAACTAAGCCAATCTAACCGAATCCGACTCAAAACTCCTTCTATAAATCGCTATGAGAAGGCTGAAGAATTTAACGTAACTCAAGGTATCCTAATCTCACTCGACTCAACCTTGATCTATAAATTATTTCAACGAGTAGCCTAACAACGAAGCTAACCCCGGCCAACTTGAATTCGGTCTCTAAATTCCGTCAATGTGCAATAAGAAGCCAAGATAACCTGACCTAACTTAACCCACCTGAAACCTCGTCTACGGGTTACTTTAACAAGCAATAGGAACCAAGCTCAACAGGGGTACCTAGCCCAAACTGAAGTTTCACAATTAAACACACCAGTGATACGCAACGAAGCAATTTGAGACTATCTAGAACTCTACAATACAGAAACCATAGAGGAGGATAGAGCAGGAGCTGCAAAGCCTTTAATTACCGATGCAGGCCGCGTTTCCATCGTTGACGGTGAGTCCCGTTTCCATCGAATTCCGAGCGAAATCCGCGATCTTCCGTAGTCAATAACGCTCGACCGAACTAACGAGCTATAAAGCTGGCCACGCGTAACGATTACAGGATTATTATACCAAAATCCCATGATCGATCCATCCTCGTTCAATGGAAGATATCCGCGCGATTCCTCTACAGCCCTCGCTCGCGCAAACCGAGGATTACCTCGCGAACGAATTGAATTGTTATGTCATTTTGGGCAGCTAATGTATCTGTCGATAGACAGACCATTGATGCACAGATTTCGTATACAACTGGAATGACCAATTCCCTAGAAGATCCAAGCGTTCAGCGAGAGACACAGTGCTGGAATTCTCGCTCGGATACTAGGGAATGTTCGAGTGCTATTAATGTCCTCCACTCTAAACTCGTGACAGAGATGACGTTGAACCACGTTCGTTTTACACGACTCGATGTCGTGGCCTTGACATTTATTTGTAACGTGTACTTATCACGTTTGGAAAGATTATGATCGATCATAGCTTATCACACTGGTGGAGAAACTAGCTACAGATGGACTCTCCGATGACGAAATAATTGCAGATCAAATGGGATAACGCGTTTAACACGTTCGTTGCTGCGTCACCCATATGTGGGTGACGAGTATGCTTCCGTGGGGGCACCATCACCCAAATATGGATGCCGCATTTCTTGTTGAAGTTAAATAGGATTTTTAAAAGGAATTTAATGGAATAAGCACTGAATTATAAATATAGAATATACAACATAAAAATATTAAAAATATGCACATTGTACTATACTTTTTATTAAGTTATATTTAGCATAAAATATTGCATTATACTATATCGCATGGTATTCGTTAAAGCAGTCTAAACACGTTTGAGGTGATTTTGGATAATTGGAACAATAGGTCGCAGTCCTTTTTGACATTTTTCGCAATTGTCTGTCAATATGTTTACGAGTGGTCAAACTTTTCCAAGTCTGCTATTCTGTTCTAGGAAGTTTGCTTATAGTAATTCATAACGATTACGGGACATTCTGCTGCGCGAAAATGGAAAATTGTAAATAGGGTCCGTTGAGCAACATCTAACATGAGGTGTCTGTATTGGACCCATCCAAATCATCCGATAACGTTTTAGCGCTGAGACAGTCGGATTTGGGCCCCGCGAGAAATTCAAGTGAATCGTGTTGGACGACGAACGTGTTAACGCGTTAAGTGCCCAGCCCGTTTTGCTTGCCGTTCAGGCCCAGACTCGGCCGTCAAGTGGGCCACCGGCGGTGAGCGAAGTGTTCATAAAACTCGGAGATACTGTACCAATTGTTATAACAGGAATTTCCAAACGTTAGGTCCAAAGATGACGAAGGATTTAACACCAAAAGTTAGCACCTTTTGGTCCTAGTCTGGGCCGGTCCCTGAGGACCAACTGGGCCTGAACGGGAAGTGTAGCGCCGGTCCATGAGGACCGGCGTGGCACTTAACGTGTTAAACGCCACATCGTACCCTAGGAACCAGAGCTAGGTTTGCCAGAATTTTTATTCAGGCCTCGCTGGGCCGTACGGCCCGGAAAGGCCCGCAAGATGGCTAACTGTGGCGTGAACGGAACGACACGTAAAACCGGCGTGGCGTTTAAGGCGTTAAGTGGAGAATATTTAGGTCGTCAATTTTCCTGCGGAGATGCGAACCACTGTGACACTCACAGCTGAAGTGACTGGATGTTGAATTTGACGTCTAATTAACGCGAGCTACATTACTCCGTGAACGGTTCATGTTTTGTTTGATTAATCCCGACCCTTTGACCGGAAGATCCAAAGGTATCAAAGAGCAAAATTGCACCAGCTTTCATCGTTCGACGAATTGAGAGTGCTCTGACGAGTCGGACGTGTCAGGGGAAACTTCAATTTTCAAAAGGCAAATCCTCTCCTCGATCAATGCCAACTCTGCGATTATCTCAGACACCTTGTACTTTTCAGCGTTTTTTGGGATTAATATAAACCGATTTCTTAGATTTCCGCAAATTATTCTCCCTTTTACATTTTGGTATATTCGGTCTTTTCTATGGTGTTTGATTTTTACTCGATTTCTCGGCTTCGTAATCTATGATTACTTTCATACTTTGGAATTTTTCTATTTCGAATTTTATTATTCGTAATCTTCGATTACTTTGATACTTTGGAATTTTTCTATATTAAATTTTATTATTCGTAATCTCCGATTACTTTGACACTTTGGAATTTTTCTATATTAAATTTTATTATTCGTAATCTCCGATTACTTTGACACTTTGGAATTTTTCTATATTAAATTTTATTATTCGTAATCTCCGATTACTTTGACACTTTGGAATTTTTCTATATTAAATTTTATTATTCGTAATCTCCGATTACTTTGACACTTTGGAATTTTTCTATTCCGAATTCTATTATTCGTAATCTTCTTGCTACCCTAAAATTTCGATGACAGCGATTTCCAGAGAGTGTCCGAAATTCAAGAGTATCTATTCGAGTATTTCAACGTTTCGAATTTTTCTAATTTTCCAAGTTCATGTGGCACTGATATTTTTCCGATGCTTGCAAATTTCAATCTTCCTACATTTTCTATATCCAATTTCTAAAAGGCTTCAGTTCTGACTCGGAAACGAAGTTTTCGACGAAATCCTTTAACAACTGGCAATGGATAAAATTATTCTAGAATTTTCGCAACGATTTCCTATTCCACGACACTCGATCGCGGGTTGAACATATGCGGCCACTGATAAGAGATAAGAAAAACAGATCGATGACGCGAAAGCATAAAGCTGACACGGTTTCTACTTGGAAATCTCATGGAAACGGTTCGTTGTTATTGGATTTCCTTCCAGCTCGGTGTCTTCATCCATCAAGCCCCCTTGCTTGCTCTCCCCCACACCCTTCAAGCCAATTTATTTAGCTTTTATTGCACTGAAAGCACAGGTTGCATCCTCGAGAGCTCCATCGACGAACGGAGAAACAGTTTGCTCGATAGATTTTCTAGTCGTCGAATTTTGTCTTTAATCTCGCTGTAAAATCTCCAACAAATGCAATTCGATTTACTTCGGGAAGGTTTGAACAAATTTTTCACCTGCTATATTTTCATCCTTGGAGATTGGAAAAATTGCATCGAAAATCCTTCGTCAACGAAGTATTTCCAATCTTCGTAAGTAAATTAATTAACAAACAGATTACCCTTATCTCGAACCCCTCATTATCTCGTCAAATAAACAGCAAAGTTAATTAGCAGCAGCAAGGAAATAATAAGCCAGATCGTAGTCCGACGAACCGTCCCTTGAAACTGACTCTGAATAGAGTCTGAGAAGATCCTTTCTATTGTATATCGAGGAGGCCATCTTTCAAGAAGTCTTACTTAACGCGAAGAAAACTGATCCACTGTTCTCTGTAATAACATGCCTGAAGAGATATTTAAAAATAAGATTGTATATAAAGGCAGCCGTGGTGGTGGTATGGTGGTTGTTTTCTCTAGGTCTGCTTTACCAATTTGAGATTTTCATCTTTCTTGTTTCTGTATACTTTATTACACTTATAGTTGGTCACTACTTTCTGATGTGACGTGGATGCGTTATGCCGAGTTGTGTTGAGTTCTGCTTGTGTTCTGGATGATTTCTGTATGCCTTCTGATTGTGTTCCGTATGCAATATGTTCGAGTTCTGAGTTCTGGATCT